GTGACCCGTAGTGACTCTATGTACAACTCTGAAACCTGTCCTATCCTGAACCAGTCTCATTGACTCTGACACACCTACTGCAATGACCCCATTTACTGTGTCAATCCATCTCATCTGGGGTCTTCCTCTCCTGTGCTGTCCCTCCACTCTTCTGAGCATGGTATCCTTCTCCAAGAATCAGTCCCTCCTGGCCACGTGCCCGAAGTATGTGAGACAGAGCTTTAAAATCCTAGCCTCCAAGGAGAAAGTTGGTTTCATTCTCTCTAAGACAGATCTGTTTGTTATCTTGGTGGTTCATGGTATGTTCAATATTCTTCTCCAGCACCACAACTCAAAAGACATTGGCTCTTCTTCTGTTATCCTTGGCTATTGTGCAGTTCTCTGATAAATAGCAAGTAGTTGCAAAGACCATGGCCTAGATCGGGCACACCTTAATCTCTAGACTGACATGGTTGCTTCTCAGCACTCTGGAGAGGTCTCTAGACCCCAGATTTTCCCAGTGCAAATTGTCTTTTGATTTCCTGAGTGCCACTGCCTAGAGTGTTGATTATGGAGCCAAGCAAGATGAACTTGTTACCAACCTCAATATAAAAGCGTGCCATCCACAAATAAAGATGATTTTACTTCTTCTTTTCCAAACTGGATACCATTTAGGTTGTTCTCCTCCTCTGATTTTTTTCTTATGTTCTAGCTATGACTTCTAATAAATACTGAAAACAAGTGGTGAGAATCTTGTCTTGTTCTTGAACCTTGTCAAGATCTTAGTCTTGTTCCAATTTCAAGGAGAAAAGCTCTCTGTCTTTCTCTGTGAAGTATAGCACTGGCTGCTGACTTTTCACATACACATCAAATTCTATAGAAGAATTTCCTTTCTTTTTCAATCTCTTGTAAGATTTTTTTTCACCAAGAAAAGGTGTTGGATTTTATAAAAGGATTTTTTTTTGTACTGTCAAAGTGTTCATTATTTTCCTTGCATTTCTGGAATAAGTTTCATTTTGTCATGGTATATGACTATTTTAATATGCTGTTGTTTACTTTGGAAGCAGGAGAGGCATCTACTTCTTAAATTACATGCCTCTGGAAATTCTATAAACTTTGATAGCTGACAATAGTTCTAGAAAGGCTTCAGGCCTTTTGTTCATAGGGTTACTATGTTGTGCTTGACTTGACGGCAATCAACACAGCAAGCAACACATTGTTTACTAGTATTTTGTTGAGAATTTTGCATCTATACTTATAAAAGTTATTGACCTATAATTTTTCTTGTTTTGGCTCTGGGTCTGGTATCAGGGTATTTCACATCATAGAATGAATTAGGGAGTGATTTTTTGTTTCTCTGTCTTTTGCAAGAATATAAATAGCATATGTTTGGTAGAATTCCCTGGTGAAACCATCTGGACAACACTATTTTGCTTTAAGATGTTTAAATGTTATATTGTAAATGTATTTTTAAAGATATATTGTGAAACATTTAAAAAATTTACAAAAAAATACTTTAAGAACTAAATCCATTTATTTCCAAAATTATTACACTCAGCTAATGAAAAAGAAGTGTAGTATTCAACTTTTGGGAGAATCATTGCTATAATTATTACAGTAGAAGATCATTCATCAGAAGGTTCAGACGCAAAAAAGCTTCTTGTAAATTGGGGTGCCTATTGCACTTACATTTTACCTGGATCTACAATCAACACCCATGGAAACAGCAGCAAAAGACATGTTTCATCAAGGAAATCCACTGTCAAGGACCTCTCCCCTGTGCTAAAGAACAAGGATGCCAGTTTAAAGACTAAAGTGTACCTGATCCAACCCATAGTCTTTTCAGTTGCTTCCTATGCATCTGAAAATTGAACAATGATTGAAGATAACAGAAAAATAATCAGTATCTTTGAACTGTGGTGTTGGTGTGCTGTTTTCACTTTCCAAAGCAAATCAACCAAGAATAGTCAAAACTCATAGATTCCCACTAATAAGATAATAATGACAGCAGAGCAATTGTCATAAAGAGTACTGAATACAGTACAAATGAAGAGCACTGAACATCTCATGGTCTGCTGAAAGGACAAACAAATCTGCTGTTTAAAAAGTACAACCATATTTTTTTTTATTTTAATGAAAGTTTATAAAGAACTTGGATTTCCATTCATTCATTGTTGCACATTTTCCTCCCTGTCGTGCTCCCCTCAGTTAACTTTTTTTTCCAAGTTCACTTTTTAAAAAAAAGTTATTTTGTTGTTTAACAGTGCTCCCCATTCCCAGACCACTTTACTATGTACCTCTTATTCTGGACTCTTGTCATGCCAAATAACATAATCATATATTCCTTTTATACAGTTTTTCTCTCTTTGTCTGTTTCAATTCTGTTCACATTATTTATCCTCTCTTTTCTTTGTTTCCCCACAACTCCCATGTCAGTTCTGTTTTATAACAGTGGCATTATGCAGTATTTGTCCCTTTGTGACTGAGATATTTCACTCATTATGATGTCTTCCATGGTCACCCATTTTGTATAATATTTCATGAGTTCTTTGTTTTTCAGTGCTGCATAATATTCCATTGTGTGAACATACCAGAGCTTATCTATCCATTCGTTTTTTGATGGGCATTTGGGTTGTATGCCTGTGACAACAACAACAAAAAGAAAGTAATCTAAACTCCTCCCCAGAAATTAATGAATTAATTATCCCATTATCTCTGTTGTTAAAAGCCATTGAGTCTTGTGACAGGGTAGAACTTGTCCCAAAGGATGGTTTTTTTAAAATTTTAACTTGTTAAAAAATTTGAGTGAAAGTTTGCAAATCATTGCATTCAATTGTTCATGACCATTTTGTTTTAGAACATTAATTGTAATTGAGTCAATTAATTTACTACAATGTTTAAATAAACTCTTATTGTATTGCCTTTCTCTTCATCCACAAAAAAAATAAAAGAAAGTACAACTATGCTGCAAACTTCATCTCACATGTTGTTGTTGTTGTTATGTGCCATCGAGTCCCTTGTGACTCATAGCGACCCTATGTACAACAGCCCTATACTCTGCTCTGTCCTGTGCCAATCACACTGTTTCTGACACTCACATCTTGATTACCCCAGTCACTGAATCAATCCACCTCATAGAGGGTCTTCCCCTCCTGCTCTGTCCCTTCACCCTCCCAAGCATGATGTCCTTCTCCAAGGACCAGTCTCTCCTCACAACATGTCCAAAGTATGTTAGATGGAGCCTCAGAATCTTTGCCTCCAAGGAGCCACCGGGTTTAGCCCTTTCCAGGATGAATCTGTTTGTTGGTCAAATTGTTGGTGGGAGGGTCATCCTTGGAAAAATACGTCATGCTGGGAAAGGTGGAGGGTCAGAGAAAAAGAGGAAGACCCTCAACCAGATGAATTGGAGCAGGGACTGTAACAACAGACTTGAGTATATCCGAGATCATGAGGATGTTGCAGGATAGGACAAGGTTCAGATCTGTTGTTGATAGGATTTCTATGAGTTGGAGATGACTCAATGGCACGTAACGACATTGCATTGAAGTTAGTGCCAGTCAGTCATGGCACTCCAGTTCACGAGGCAGGTGTGCTGGTAAGGGACGGGTTGGTAAGAGTGGCATTGCTCTGCTGTCATTATTATCTAAGTGGAAATTTAGAAGGTTTGACTATTCTTGGTTGATTTGGAAAGTGAAAAGTCTTAAAACACTGTAGTTGTGTAATAAATGCATAGCATGTATTTTAAAATTCAAATCCAAATAAACAGAAAGTAGACTCCTAAGGAATGATTTTTCAGATCTTGGAAATGGGGCAAGCCCTTTTTTAATGATCATGCAGAGAAAATCTATAAATTGTGGATCTATCTATTCTCAAGAAGGTTTGATCCCAGATTTCTTAAGTCTAGAATTGTCTAATTTAATAGCTTAAATTTATTATTTATCCTCAATAAGAGGCTATAGAAAAAGGTAGGAAAAGCTGGATATCTATTGAAAACTTGCCTGTTTATCAACTTGTGAACTTTATTTCTAAATACATTCCCAAAGAAGAAGGAAGTGGTTTTGAAATGAGGTACTTGATAAAGAGACAAATTAAGGCAGGTATGATACCAGGAACCCTTCAGGTACAGTGGTTAAAGTGCTCAGCTGATAACCAAAAAGGTCAGTGACTGGAAGCCAGCAGCTCCTGGGTGGGCCAATCAGCTTCTGTAAAGAGCCCAGCCTTGGAAACCCCATGGGCAGTTCTGTTCTGTCTTATCTGGTCCCTGGGAGTTGAAATCAACTCATGGTAATGGGCTTGGGTTTGACTTATGAAACTAAACTTCTGACCACTGACCTGGTTTTTACCTCTTTTTGAAGGAGCTATTTCAGAATTGTCATAGCATGGCTGCCTTTAAGGATTTCATTATAAGGAACGGCTACAGGATGCCAAGCGTGAGTAAAGGGTCCTTTGGGGGCGACCTGCTGGAGGGGCTCTGTAGCTCACTGTTGTTCCCAGGAAGGAGTTTGCACTCTGACCTCTCAGAATGTTTTCTGGCAAACATACACAACAAGGTCCCGGGGCAAAAAAAGTGTGCGTTCTTCCAAACGAGGGCCCCCCTGGGCTGTGGGATTTACTTTTTTATTCTGCCTGTTTATGTCTGCTGTTGTTGGGAAGTGTTACCTCCCTGTGTTCAACCCACCTTACTTGAGTATGACTTTAAAGGGGTCTCAGGCCTCTAAACACCACTGGAGGGTCAGCTGTGGGCTCTTTCTGACTCGGTGGCACACTATAACAACAACAACAATGTTCAGGACATGCAAATTCTATAACAGAAAGTATATATTTTCAAGGTTTTGAGTCCTTTGCCTCTGTGTCTAAGGACAAAGTTGTGGTTTGGCTCAGGGAGAGAAGGAGGTGGATTTATAATTGTGACAGACTATGATTAAACTTGATAATGATGAGAGATTGGAGTAAAAACTTGCTTTCTATGGGACCAGTCAGTCTCTTCTCTCTCCTTTTCCTTGACATTTTCCCTCTTTTAGGATGAGGTGGGGTTTTGTGAGAGGATCGTTGAACAGGAAGGCTGCAGTCTGGACCAAGAATAGTCCTGTTACCACAGCAGTAAATCAGATAGGCATCCATGGCCAGTCTGACAGCTAACAATATATTTGCCCTGTGACCTCTATGTGCTGCTGGTCAGAAATTTCTGCAACTGGCAGATTGGATTTTTTTTCTTCCAAGACTTGTAGAAACTAACCGTAGCTTTTATTTAACTGGCAAACAAGAACTGTTGACCAATACATATAGACTACTCGCCAAGTTGAACCATACAATAGGCAAGCGAGTCCAGTGGTTGGGGTGCAGGCAGAGTTAGAGAGAGGACTGCATTCAAGAGGGAGGAAAGGCTTGTCAGATTTTAAAAAGTATGCTCTTGTGGTCTACTGGCAAGAAGTTGCACTGCAATCTCGAAGGCACGCGGTTTGAGTCCACCAGCTATCTTGTTGGAAAAAATGGGCAGTCTCCTCCTGTGCGATCAACTCTTCTTGAAAGCCCACCAGAGGGTCAGCTATGGGTGGTTCTGACCTGATGGTACACAACAACAACAACAACACAACAAGGCTTATAACAATAACAAATGTGTGGAACTTGTGGCTTATTGGTAAAGAGTTGTGCAGCTCATCCAAAGACAGGAAGTTCGAACCCACCAGTGCCTCCATGTGAGAAAGGTGGACAATTTCTTCTCATGAAAATCATAGCCATGGAAAATCCAATGGCGGATCAGCCTTTGGGTTAGCAATGCAACCCTCTACAGACGATGCCACCAGATTTATACATAAATACAAACATGTACGTGTGTGTGTGTGTGTGCACGCACACACACAAGCTTCTCATTAATGTTTTCAGTGGCAAAATAAACCTTTTTTTAAAAAAAGTTTCCCCCTGCTTGGTTTTATCCATTTTGTCGAAGCCCATGTAGTTCGATTCATGGCAAAAGGCAAGCATGACTGACACACTGGCTCCATTTTTCTCATCGGCATTAACAAAAGAGGGATGATAAATAACCTGGCTGAAACTGGGCCTCTGAGATCACCGGTAACACAAGACTCTGAATATTCTGTCCCTTTATTTCTTAAACCCTGTATCTTTTTTTTTTATTATTATT